CAGTCAACCATGCTCAGTATGTGCACAAGTGGTATGGGAGAATGGCAGTGGTAGTAGGAGGGATGTTGTAGTTGACCAGTATTGAGGTCAAACCACAAGCTATTGGGAATCATGGTTGACTGTGTCAGGGCACCAGCTCATTGCTTGGTCAAGAGACATGACTAAGCCTTTATGACATGGAAGTAGCTGGTATACCTTGGTATGTGCTGGAACCTGCTGGAAGGATTGGATGGTCAGGTAACCTGCTGTGCATGGCTGTGCATGACCTCATATGACCTCATCCTTGGTCATATGACCTGATCACCTGACTAGGCTGAGTAAGCAAGATGTTCTAGCAGGTTCCACCACAGAGGTATAAATATAAGGCCTACTCTGCCTGGGGACTGTCTCTTCAGACTTGGTCTCTTAGGATCATCCACAGGTACCTATACTGTAGATAGGTCTTAGTCATCAGGTCTACTCCACTTCCTTGTTGCCTGCTTAGACTCTTGGCACTCTTAGGTGAGCAGACTTGGTCAGCCTGTGTTGCCCTAACAGACTGATCATGTCAACATTGGACTCAGGCAGGACAAAGCCATGCCTTCAGGAGTCAGTGGAGGTATTGCATGGGTATTGGTGGGAGGGGATGGGATCTCAATGGTAACCCTTTGTTGATTGGGCAGAATCGAGGGGATGTTGGATGGGGAGGAGTCCAGAGTTGCCTGTCACCTAGACTTGGGCAGCATAGTGCAATGCCAGCAGAATCAGTATGGACATCAGGCAATCACAGTGAGCCATCAGGGGTGTAGTCAGGGGTTCAGTTACTCATAGGCAAGAACCTTGCCGAAAGAAGGGGTGTTGGGCTTGCCTCATGAGCTTTTGTAGAGATCAAGCACAGGTCAGACCTCTAGTCTCTAGGAGGGTGGCCTATCAGCAGAGACTTTGGATACATTGGCACCAGTCATCCGGAAGTCAACAGTCTTGGCTGGAGCACCAGCCTTTGGAGGGTACAATGAAGAATTGGGGTGTGTCACCAGGTTATTGAGTACCTCAGTCTGACTACCTGAGGTCAATCAACATGATCATGGACAGTTCACTTCCTTTGAGGGAGATTGGTGTTTTGGGTTGTACTAGACAGTGGGATTCCTGAGAGACCAAATCTGAGGCTTCTGTGCCCTCAGACTGGTGCCTACATATACATGCCAGAGGAAACAAAAGGAAGCAATAGACTGTGGCTGAGAAACTGTACTTGTCCATCTTACCTCAGGGCAAATCTTGTGACCAAAGGTCTCCTGATCATGGGTGAAGTCTCCCAATCTCCACACTAGGGCTCACCCCTACTTCTCAATTGTCAGCCAAAGCCTGGCCAAAACATGCTTTGAGATCTGATTTGATCCCGATCACCTATACTTGAGTCATAGGCACCTTGAGTAGGTAGCCAAAACTGCCAAAAGGTGGCTACTTGTCTTCAACCTGTTGAAAGCCTTGCTGAGGCCCATGACCAAGGCCTACAAATAGTCAAATATGATTGATAGGCTGGCCCAAAAGGTATTCAAACCCTGACCCCCTATGCCTTAGGCCCCAAAGTCTTTTGGGTGTCCTAGCAACTTGATGAAGGGGTTTAAACTCCAGTTGACATGACTGAGAGTCTTGCACAAATATGCGACTTGAGTGTTCAGTCCTTGCGAAAGGTGAACAATCACTGATAGCCTGGAAATGAGGGGTTGAGTGTGTCAAACTGGTGGCATTTGGGCCTGAATAGGAGTTCATAGAGGTCAAACCTGACAATCATCTTGGACCCCCTTCTACACACGCCTGAACACCCTGCTCTCATAAACTTGCCTTGACTCCACAACTCTTGCTACACTTTCTGTGAGGGTGACACAGTCTAGGCCCTAGCAATGACTGTATGACTGAACAGGCAAGACCTTGAGCACATGTGCAATGCACCAGTATGGGTGGGTGAGAGGGCAAGATTGCTCAACCCTTGTCACCAGACACAATACAGAGAGACAGATAACTAGTCACTGATCCAACCCAAGAGGTGTCCAAAATATCAGGTGTCTGAATATATTGGTCCAATGGGAGGTGTGCAAGAACTTGCAGGGGAAAGAGGGGGAAAAGTTGGTAAAGTTGCAGGTACAGAAGTCAGTTGGTAAATTGGAAGTCAGTCTCAGTCCAGTCAGTCATGATAAGTCAAGTTGAATACACTAAGTCAAGTCTGCCTGTGCATGATAATCGGGTCTGTATAATGCTAATGGAAAAGGGGCAGAATAAGCTAAGTACAGGAGTTTCTGAAAACTACTTATACTAGCTACTCTAGGCTGTGCTCAATACTAATCTCATATCTGGATACCTCACCAAGGCAGATGTTGGCATGCCGAATATCTGGGTGGGTCAATCCCATTGTGAGGGAAACCCATAGTCATCATGCCAAATATTTGGAGAGTTGAGGCTCGTTGCAGGGGTCTGTTGTCTACATTGTGAGGGTCCATAGTGCCACGCAACAGTCTCCAAGGGTCTCAATATGCATGGGAATACCAGCCTGACACACCCCACCAAAGGTGGGGTTGTTCACCAGTGCAAGTAAAATGGCATGAATTGGCCTGCTGCAGGCCAATACCCTAATGGAACCATCTTTGTTTGCTTCTGCTCCGGACCCTAAGTCAGAAGCAAATCACATATGATCATGCAGGTACAGTAATACTGACATTATTACAAGACTGAAGTAGTATTGAGTATGACTATTACTATTACTATTACTATTACTATTACTATTACTATTACTATTACTATTACTAAGGGTTTTTATTATTTAAGGTTATATCATTTTCAGGTTAAGGTTCATGTGCTATTTGGGTTAGGGTTACTTCGGGTTAGGTGCTCTTACATAACTTTACATAATTATCATCCCTATTTTTTACTACAAACTGGGGTCTGACACAAGGCTGTGCAAAAATGGAGGCAATGCCCATAAAATCAAACCTTGCATTATCAGCTTTCCATACTGATGTAAACATCTCCACATCATGCATTACACATCACCACTTTACTTCTGCTGATCACTTGGTGTTTGCACCAACTCTTTGAAATGTACATGAATGCTGGATACATCACTTGCTGCCCTGATACTGGACACATTCTCAGTCCACTCAATAAAGTCAGCATGAGCAGCCTTCTGTGGTTTGGCCATTGAATTCCTAAGGCAATTCAGACAGCTCTGATCCATATGGTTACAAAGAATGCACTTGAGCCCTGAAAGGCTTGCAGCTGGACCTGTGTTGGCAAACTGAATTTGTCACCAGCATTGTCCCACCAGTTGGACCTCTTAGCTCCTTAGCTCCAGACCCTAGTTAGAAGTGTTGGGCCAGCACATCATCAATGCTAGTTAGGCACATCCCACAGAAGGGAAGCAAGTAAATAATGCAATTCCACAAGCACAGCACTGTTTGACTGCCCAGACTACATGAGTTATCTACTCCAGACCACCTACATGGCAGATTCAGGTAACATCACTTTACAACAATATCTGAATGTGTCAAAGACCGATGCAGGACTGCCCTTGAGAGAACAGCCCCCCCCCCAGATCCCAAAGAGAAAGGCAGCCCACATCCAGATGTGACTTGCCCCCACACTCCACCCTCATCCCCATGGCCACACCAGAGAGGGAGCATGAACACAAACTCTGGAAGATCTGGTTTGCAAGCCTCCTGTCATTCACCCAGTTGTGCCGCAGACATGTCGTCACCTGGAGGTGTTCAGCACTGGACATGCAGGACACTGAGTTCTCACTTTGTCCCAAAGTGAGATTTGAGGCAGATCCCAAAGAAGGGGCAGCAGCAATATATGTCCAGCAAGAATACCAAGACATTGGGGCATCTGGAGCAGGGGAACAAGTGTGGGAGGATGTTGAGATGGAAGATGTTGGGGAGGGGTTTTCTGCTTTGACAACATGGGCAGAATTAACATGCACCTCACTTGAAGGATTCCGTCTGGAATTGAGCTGACTCTTTGTCCAGAGCTGCTGTGAGACATGCAGCTGGACATGGGGCACATGCAAAATTGCTTCCGCAGATTGTGGCAGTATGGGACTGTCTCGTTCCTGACTTGGTTGATGATTACTTGCTCTGGCAGCATGCTGGAGGGGGCAGACTTTCCGGAACCAATGGGCATGGTGTATCCGGGCTATTGATCTGTCAGGGCACCAGCTCATTGCTTGGTCAAGAGACATGACTAAGCCTTTATGACATGGAAGTAG